GGATATATAATGTAACAATAGAGATAAATGTGTATGTATCCAATTTGTTAAGATTTGTACAAGTGACTTGCGATAGCATTCTGTATAACAATAAAGTAACAAGCTGTTATTTAAAGAAGTAAATATAATTTACAAACAGTGCTTTAGCGCATGTGTCCCACAACTATAAAATTATCTTGGAAGTATATGTATAATATTTTTTTACGTTTTCATAAATCACTTTCAATGCAACAGTTCGTATCCTGTTTCATAAGCTGTGTGTATGTATGTGTGAACGTGCCTTAAACGCACCTATACGTGTCATATTAAGCAAATAAAAAAAACAGTATATAAAACACTTTCATTTATACTTGGGAGAATTTTCGTTTCCAAATTTCTATTATTTAATTTGTAACTTGATTTAAATTTCTCTTTGATACAATAAAACACCAAGACAGAAAAGTTTTGGTGTAATGAATGAGGAATTGGATAGAAAATATGGAAGTTCTACCAGTTACCCTTAGAATTTAATGGGTTTATCTTTGCACTGATCAATACAAAAATTAGTGAACCGCTTAAGGAACTTTGGATATTCCCTTTTATAAACAGCACGTAAAACAGACGCTGGAGCCCATCCACCTGGGTTGACTATAATAAAAAAAAGTAAGTATACAATATAATGAATCATAATATTCTATTAATATTAAAATAATATAATACGAACCAACAGAACAATAAGTTATTTTGCATGTTATATTTTCTCTTTTTATTTCTTCCTCATCTTGCGGAGGATCAATGAAAGTTTGACACACAAGGCAAACAGTTAAATAAACTCTTACGCATTTCCCAGTGTTTGGCTGAAAATATTTCATACATGGAATTATTCACGAAATTGGACATTTTAACATGTATATAAAATTTACCGGATATTTGGAATGCTCCGTACTATGATTACAGACTATCCATAAATCATGTGCATCAGGATCTTGATCATCTGAGACTCGGCGTATATGTGACCAAAATAATGCATCCCTTTGACTTGCCGGCCAAATTCGTTTATGCGTTTGAAGAAATATTAGAGTGTCTTTAGAAATACTTTCAATCACGGTCATGTCTTCAAGCGTAGCTTCCCATCCTGTTCTATATTCAGGACTAAAGAATATTTCACAAACTTCGTGACCCGTAACTCCTTTCACAACGTGACACGCTTTCAAAGGGTCCACCACCAAGCCATCCGCTTCTTCTTCGCGTCTGTACATTCGCATATCGCCGTCTTCGGCAAATAATTGCCAACCACCGGCTCCTACTCCAAGACGTGCATAATGCAATTGTTCCATCGTTATTTTCTCTATCTGAATATGATCAAAATAGAAATATTCGGTAACATTAGGATATAGACGAGTTTTAAATCAAATAGTTACCTCCGGATAAAGTTTGTGCTTAACTGCTGACATTGTAGGAGTAGCTGAAATTGAAACTGACTTTTGTTTCAAGCGATCTCTCAGCTGATTTTCTTCGTCAATTTTATCTAATCCAGTTTCTACTGCATCATAGAATTCTTCATCACAGAGTGCACTATGTGGACCTTCCTTAAATATAAATACTTTGTTTACATGTATTATCTCCCATCATTTTATAAATTGTATATCGACTTTCTTTTTAGATTACATAATCGGACCTCATAATCTGGACCTCCATGAATCAAAACTCGGGGCCTGGGAGAATCACTTTGTTGCATAGCAACCTGGTCTTTCAGAGCCTTGTACAGTTCTTGGACTTTTCGCTTTTTCTCAACTTCTTTTTCCCATCTACGACGCCATGCATCTTCTCGTTGAACCATTAATTCGACACAATGCTGCAAAGTCGCCAATACACCTTCACTTGTTGCTTTAAACGTTATTGCTTCACCCTTAAAGTCTACAGATTGTTCAGCTGGATTGAACATTGTCTCAACTTTATTTTCTGAAACAAATATTTGTCAATTAATTAAAGAAAATGAGAAAACATGAAACAATTGAATACCAGACAAATGAAATTGTTATATATATATATAT